AGTTGGTTGGTCTGGTTGGGATTCCAGGACATCTGTTACAAGCAGAGAACCCAAGTTAGTATCTAAAACCAAATGGACAGGCTTACCTGGAATTAGCATAGATGGCTGCATGTGGACCGGCTGTTGGGTATCAATTCTTTGGGTTAGGACTAGGCCCTTCCCCTTTTCCGGACTCAGCCGTGGAGGCGGACTAGGTACAACCAATACTTCCTCACCCTCTACAATCATAGAAACTTCACTTCTCTTTCCCTCTGCATGAACCCTTAGGTAAGGCTCCAAGTCTGATTCCTGTCTCTCTGGCCCGATGTCCTGACTAGACTGCACATATGGAATGGCCTCGTTTATTGGTCGGGATGCACTCTGCCTTCCCTCTTTAAGTGTTCCCAACTCCACCTGTCTTTTGTATAGCATACCCAGTTTGGGAAAGATTTGTTCTCCACTGCTAAGGCTCACTCTTCTTTGCGTTTTGATATTACCAGAATCTTGCGAATCCGTCTCCTACTCTAGGAATAACAGTTCAGTGTTTAGGCTACCCTCTTCCAGTATATCTCTTGGATTTTGGAGGTCGATACTTCCCAAGCTAATGGTTTCTTCCAAATCTGAATCGGAATCAGAAAGTTCTTCATCGTCTGTCAATCTTTCCAAATCAGAGTCAAAAACCTCACTCTCTTCACACTCTTGGGGTTACGGCGTTCCTGTTCCTTATGCGGCATCTTCTTCGAGGGTCTCCATTGTAACAAGCTGGAGACTTTCGCTGAACTGTTCAAACGGGAGAAAGGGCTTGAGGAAGACGATGGTATACAGATTTTACTGTCTACCTGAGGAGCCAACCTTGTCACGTGCTCCTTTAAGTTGTCATGCCCCCCCTCACTCTTGGGTCTTTTAAGCATAGCCCACTTAACTTTTCAGGCCTACTGGGCCCAAAATTACAATTTAGAGATGGGCTTGCTGGTTGGACCCCCATGCATATTCCTGAGGCTACCAATACCTCTGCTTGACCCGATGAATCACCTCCCTCCTCCCGTATTGCACTCGGACCAATTCTCTCCACTGGAGTAAATTGCTTAGGTCCACAAGCAACTGCTTAAGCAAAAGAAACTTTGGTTTTCCCACCGTTGCCTTGTGTAACACGTCTAACACTTCTAATGGTTTCCTGATCTCAGTCTTTTGGCCTGCCTAAAGGTTGTGCTTCCATTCTTGTGAAAACTCCTTGTTTCTTTTTTACAGCCACTTTCAGACCGCCACGTAGCTGCAGCTCCTCCACCACTTCGTCTTCCTCCTGCCTTGCTTCTCTCCACAGGGTAGCTTCAATGGAGGACAGTAACCACACTGGGAAGAACAAACCCTCCACAGCTACATTCACCTTCCT